AAAAATACAAAAATTAGCCAGGAGTGATGGTGCATGCCTGTAGTCCCAGCTACTTGAGAGGCTGAGATAGGAGAATCATTTGTACCTTGGAGGTAGAGGCTGCAATGAGCCAGGACCTTGCCACTGCACTCTCCAGCCTGGATGACAGAATGAGATTCTGTATAAACAAAACAACAACAACAACAAAATTACTAAATGGAAAGGTTGCACTTCAAATACTGTGGTTGGAAATTTTGTAATGTAGATCAGGCAGTTTTTTAGATACATTTTCTAGTTTCCACATAGCTACAAGAAACATTGTTACTGTTTCCTGCCACTAAATAACCAGAATATTCCCCCTTCCAATCATATTTTCTTCACTTTGTGGGTAAGTTCACTCAGTGCCCTCAACGTCCAAAATGCTACAAATAGCATGTTGAAGACACTTTTAGCCTTTACTAACACTGTTCTCGGGGCCACTCATGAATTCGAAAATCATTCTTAAATTTTAGGGTTTTTTTTTGTTAAGACAACACCGTACTTCCACATACTAAAGTCTATTTTAGCTATTAATTTATGAATGACTAAGTTTCCTTTGTTGAAAAACAACTGGGAGCAACATAGCTAGCTGGTCTTGGCTCAGTCTGTCTCAGTGACTGCCAGGCTGTGGTCATCTAAAGTGACCGGGCACATCTATCTCTGAGTTTACTCAAACGGCTATTGGAAAACTTCAAAGGGCCACCCTTCAAGCTCATCTGCATGGGTCTCTCCACAGATTGCTCATATTATGGTAGCTGGCTTCCTCCAGGGCAATCAATCCAAAAGAGATTACCCAGCATATAAGAAGCCATAGTCTTTTTTTATAACCTAATTCAGGAAGAACACTCCATCATTTCTGCTGTATTCATTAGAAGTTAGGAAAAAAAAAAAAAAAAAGAAGAAGTTAGGAAAAACATGAAAATAAAAAGTCCATCCCTGCCGAGACCAGCTGGGTCGTGGAGACCCCAACCCAGCCGTGATGAAGGAATTAAGAAACACAAGTATAGACTGCAAATTGGGATCAGGGACTAACAGCCTTCAGAACTGAGGGCCTCGAGCAGACTCTGACCCACGTACTTATTCTCTGTGAACAGGTGATTATTATTAACAAGCAGGTGTTCTGTGTTTTCTCATAGAACCAAGATAAACTAGGCAGGCAGCTGGTGCCCATTCACCACTGATTGAAGACAAATTGGAAAGCATACTCCACAATGGAGCAATGGGGTCAGGGTCACATATCCCATGTTTAAAGAACTGATTTAACTAGTGTATGATATGCATACATTGTTTACTATTTTAGAACACCCTGAGCAGTTTTTTGCTTGGGGGTCAGCTAGGCTTTCCTTGCCGTGGTTCTCAGTAAACAATATAATCCATCACACATGTTAGGATTTGTCCCCAGCACATCTCACACTGAGAAGGAGGAATTACCCAGAACCCCATATCAAGTGTTTGGGCCCAATTTAGAGGCTGCCTAGTGGAGTAATAAAATGTTGAATAGTATGCTTTTTTTTTTTTTTTAAGAAGACATAAATAGGAACCCATATATGTCTCTCATTATATTGTCAAAAAGAATGAAAGGAGAAACCAAAAACTAATAAAAATGGTTCCCTACAAAGAGAGAAAGGGAAGGAAATCAGAGCTATATCTCTCAATGTGCCTTATTTTATGTGTCTGACTTTGGAAACTTGTAAATATTTCACGTAGTGAGAATCTCAAAGGAAAAGAAGCAATCCTTAAATATGGAATATGTCAACATTAATTTGAATTGAAAATATCCTTTGAAAGTGAGATTTTTTTTCTTTTAAATGTTTCTGAAATGAAAAAATATATATTTCCTGCTTTATAACTGAAAAGCTTAAAACTAGTAGCAAAAAACCACTAGCAAAGCGATTATGGGAACTGAATTTCATTTCCCATTAAAACAAACAAAAGTTCCAAAAGAAATAATGAATTCCAGGTCTGCAGTTGGAAATTTGTTAGATAAGCATGGAATACCTTTTTATTGATCACAGCCAGGCCACTAAGGTTCATAGCTACCTGTTCAAAATGCAAAAATGTCTATGGAAGCAGCTCCTTCTTGTCTAAGATAGGTTAGTTCAAACAACAAAAAGAATAATGACTGTGATGCACTGAAATACATCAAATATACAAAACTATATTTTTGAAAATGATATTCCAAAGGGAGCAGGGATTCATTTTGAATTTGCTAGAACCCATTCAAGATTTCTGAAACATGTAAGACAATGGTTAAGAATCAAGCCTGCCATTCTTATTGGGTGTCTATTTCAGGAGAATTCTCTCATTTGTGAGGGAAAGTATTTTTGTTTATTTCTTTTTTTTAGTAAGAGGGTATAAAATCATAAACTCAAGAATAAAGTCAAATTAGAAATCACAACTTTCCAATTCCTAATGAAATAATATATTTAAGAAATGATCATCAGTGGCTGCAAAAACCACGAGGTGGAAGTTTGGTGAAGAATTTTTTTAATTCTATAATTACATATAATTTATATGTTATGATTTTATAATGCACAGATGAGGTTGACAACACTTTAACCTTCTAATCAATAGGACAGCTAGATATTTTGTTCCGTTGGTATGTCAGTAGAATATACACAGCATTTTTAATTAAATATTCTTGAAAAAAAGGAGAATGCAGGTAAGTTTCTGAGTCACATTAGTAGAAAATGTGGGGCTTACGTGAAGATATTTAATTGATGCTATGCAACCAAATCCAGAATTGGGAAAATTTAGATGACAGATAACTTAGTGTTTTCAAGAGGCAAATAAAGACCATAAAAAGAGGAACACACATATATACAAATTGTTATATCAGAAATTAAAAAATAAAAGGTAAATAAAGGAGAACATTGAAATCATGCTAGGGTGTTACAAAGATGTTGATAAACAGGAGTGTAGGCACAGTCATTATATAATCATTAAAAGCCACAATTATTTTTCATACCTGTTACTTATGTAAGCACTAAGATTGTTGCTGAGGCTAAACTAATCCCTGACTTTAAAGAATTGACAATTGACTTGTGAAGACAATTATATAAACAGAAGGTGGAGTCAGTGCTCATAGAAATCATTGTAGATCTCAAACCAATTTTGAAATATGTGGCTCTGCAGCTGAATGTCTCTGAGCCTCAATTTCATCTAGTAACTGGCAAGTATTCTTCATTTAACATATGTGGTTGCAAAGAGGGCTGAATGAAATAACTTATTTAAAGCATTTGCAAGTTTAAAGCAGTCTTTATATTTAAAAAAAAATTGCCATGCAGCATATGAAATAGTAAAAAGTCAGTGGAATAGAAGAGCTGTGGCAGGTGTTTAGAGGAACGCATTACTGGGAGTTATCAGAGAGTTGATGCAAATTTTCTGAGAAAGTCAGAGCCTGATCCCATTCCAGGGAGTTTATGCAAATTTTTTGGGAAGGTCAGAGTTTGGGCCCATTCCAGAGTGACAGCGTAAAGGATTTTGCTATGTTATTCTTAGTATCGGATCTACCCCAGCATCTGGTACTTTGCACAGTAGGAAGTTAAAAAAAAAAAAGCTTGCCCACACTATTGAATGAATAGGAATAGTGTGCTGTTGAAGCAAGTAAGAATTTCCACTGGATTACATGGGCTCTAGATGGAGACTTCTGCTAAGGATGAGACAAAAATCTCCCCTGGATCCTCATCTGGTTGGACTGAGGGACATGATACCTTGTTCTTCAAGTTTTTACATTTCATCCTCCCACCACCCCCATTCCTGTTCAGTTTCCTTTCTCTCTTAGTATTATTGTGTTTCATATAGGGCTAGGAAATTTTTTATGAGAACCTGGAAAAATACTGCTTACTGTAATAAATATGATCTTTTGAACTTTTATTAAATATAACTCTTACAGGAATCACCTTAAAATTTTTCACTCTACACATTTTTTAACTAATTAGAAACATCCTTAGCAAGTAAGTACTAAATGTTCTAGCCTATAGTAAAAATCCATATACTGCCTCCAGCCAAAATTCAATACCCCTCTTTATCCTTGAATCTTTCACAAAAAGTACGTTAAAAATTAAAATGCCTTTACAAAAACGAAAAACCTACTTTAAAAATACCATGTGTTTCTACAATAAGGGGAGAAAGTTCTTCATTTTGTGTTTGTACAAGTTGAGCATTTCAAGAAGTCATTGGCATCCATTGATACAGCCACGTTCTCCATTTTCCCAGAAAAGCCAGGAGCCACTTTTAGTCCCAGTTAAGGAAAACGCATGCATAAATCAAGCACCGGGTCGGTCTTCTCCACTCCTTCAGCAGAGGACGTTGGCGGCCGCCCGCCTGCCTGTCTCTTGGCTGCGGGAGCGTTAGACACATGCGCACGATTGGTCTCTTTGTGTGCACCAGGAAGGGTTTGGCGTCGATGTACACTTCCTAACGGGGCAAAGACCTGGCCCGGCCGCGTGTGTTCGCGAATAAACATGTACTGTAAACAAGGCCGATGAAATAAACAAGTGTCCCGCTCCCGCTGCCTTCCGCTTGGGAAGCGTCCCCACCGCCCTTTCCCCGGAGCCCAGCCCGCGAGCCGAGGTTTAGAGACCGGGAATGAGGCGCCGCGTCCTCAGGCACCTCGCGCCCGGGGAGCGCTGCGGGCCCGGGGAGCCGGGTAGGGAGCGGGCCCCGGGGCGCGCGGCGGCGGCGGATGCGCTCCCGCCCGCGCGGAGAGGGATGGAGCGCGTCCTGCGAGCGTCTCCGAGCCCAGCCACCCCGCGGGCCAGGGGGAGGGAGCGGGGCCGGCGCATCAGCCCGCCCCCCCGGCCCGCCCCCTCCCCCCGCGCTGGGGAGCCGCGGTGGTGCGCTCCGGCCAGCTGTGCGCCGCCGAGCGAGGCGCCAGCCCGTGGGTGCTGCCGGGGGCGGCGGCGGCGCGGGGCTCGCGGCGGGGGGCGGAGGTGAGCGCCGGAACGCGGAGGGCTGGCGCGGCTCGCGGCGCCGGGCCCCGTTCCCCGTCCGCGGCGGCCCTGCAGACGACCCCGCGTCCCCACCGGCGGGAGCTCGCGGAGGAGCGGGCGGCGGCGCTGCTGCTGGCGGCGGCCGGCTGGATGCGAGACCCGCGCAGACCCCGCGGCGGACGGCGGCTTTCGGCTCGGGAGAGCGGATCGTCGCGGAGCGCAGGAGCCCGGTCGCGCTGACCATGGCCTCCAACTTTAACGACATAGTCAAGCAGGGCTACGTGAAGATCCGCAGCAGGAAGCTGGGGGTGAGTGCCTCGCTCGCGTTTTCCTTCCCCCGCGGGTTCGGCCCGGCCGGCTGCCGGGGGGCAGGGAGCGGTGACCCGTGCGGGGACCGCGAAGAGGGGAACCCGGCCCTTCCGCGGAGGGCCCGCTTGTTGCTTGGCTAGTTGGGGGCCCGCACCTGCCGAGGGGTCTGCGGACGGAGCGGGAAGGGGGGCTCCGGGAGCGCCTGGGTCCCCATCCTCGAGTGCCCGGGGCTGGCTTAGACCGCGCGTGCGGGGAAGTCCGTGGACGAAAGGGGTTGTCGGTTCCAACGAGGAACGTGCCTCGGAGGAGGTTTCTCTGCTGTGCCGTCCGCGATGGTTTGTTCTCAAAAGTGAGCGCCTTTCGGGTGGAACTGCTCCGTGTGGCGACGCTCGCGTGTGTTTAGAATCACCATTTTCTGGTCCCGGTTTCCCAAGCTCATTTCGAAATTCCCGAGTGATGCCCTCCCAGCGCCGCGCGTCCCTGCCGGCTGTAGCGGGCGAGTTTAGGGCGTCTTAGCCGTGGCCGCGGGCGGCTCCCGCTCCCCACGAGCGTTCCCCGACCCTTGGACCCGCGGCCGCGTGCAGGCAGGTGTGCGCCCCGTGCCCTCCCTCGGACAGCACTCCGTGACGGCAAAGTTGATGGGGACCTTTCTCTACTTCTTGAGAGATGCGCCGCCTGACTTGGGGGGAAACAGTGCAGAACCCAAGGGTTCAAGTGACCAGACGAGGAAGGAGGAGGGGCTCTCTGGAGGCGGCAGGCCGTGAGCCGCGGGTACCTGGGCCAGGGCGCGCACCTGGGCCCAGACTCCGGACGCCAGGGGGAGGTTGGAGAGGCGGGAGGGAGTGTCCCCGGGGCGAGAGCGCGTCAGGAAGGGTGGCCTCCAAGGCTGACCGGGACGGGCTGGTCCAGAAGAGGGAGGGAAACTCGTCTGGAAGAGAAAGTGCTCCTGCTCTGGATTCTCTGCTTGTGTCTACCTCACTGTCCTCCAAGTTCCAGTTCTACCAGGTTCCTGCATCCCGGGGCAAAGGGTCCTTGAGCTAGAACCTTCCCTGTGTTTCCTGATGGCGGGATGAATCCTCCAACTTGGAGAAGGGGAGAAAGGGGGGAGAACTTTGCTAATTTTTGCGTAAAGAAGAAAACAAAGGAAGTGTAGCCTTAGAGAGTAGAAGAAAGGTAGAGTAGAATCCCCAGAAGAGGGCAGATCACCAAACACTGGGAGTGGCTTTGTCAGGAGTTGGCGGCGCCGAGAGCACGGGAAAGGCAGACTTGACTCTCGCTGCTGCCTCTGCTGGGTTTCTCATTAAAGGTACAGGCTGTACCCCAAGGACAACAGGGGTCCGTTCTGGAACTTCAGCAGCTCTGTAGTAGGCTGGGAGCCGGGTGACAGCAACGCCCCCCTTACTCGGGCCTGGAGCCACTGTGCGCGGTCCTGAGCACCACCAAGGCAAGAAAGAGCAGGCGCCAGGGTCAGACCCTCGGCCAGGTTCCCAGGGTTTTTTTTTTGGGTAGAAGAAAGCGCTTCGTCCTTTTCCAGGGAGAGAGGGGCTAACCCACGGGAAAACCTGCGGTTCTCCTGGAGTCTGGTTATTCCTCGCAGCCAGGACGCAGTGCTCAAATCTGTCACCACACAGCTGTCAGCCAAGGGAGGTGCAGAGCGAGAGGTGGAAGGGAGTCATCTTAGCTTGACCTTTGAAGCTCTTTGCTTTATGACAGGGTACTTGTTCATTTTTCTCGGCCTTTGGTCTTCCTGAAACCGAAACTGTGTCTGACACTTTAGACTATATAAACTAATGGATGAGTTAAGTCCCAAACAAGATGTGTGTCTGCGTTCAGAGTCACCTGCACGTGAAAATGAGACTGAAGAATGTAGCCTGCGCACTTGGCCCTGGAGTCTATAGGATTCCTTCCCTCCTCCATCTAAGCTTTCCAGGATTTCACACAATAAAAGCTAAGTACGTAACCCAGTTATAACATAGGGCCCAAGGAAAGTGCATTGAATGTTTCCTGGGTTAACTATGACATTCACAGCATTTGAAACATCATCTTGAACACCATTTCTGCCTAACGATGTGCTGTGCGCAAATGTATATTTACACTTACAAAGCCTCTTTTACTATGCTCACTGTTTAGAGCTTTGCCTTTGTAAAGTGCAGCCTTCATATAAAACAATAGAAGTGTGTTTAGGTAAAAGTTAATTGCCTTTGTCCTCCATTTCTACCTGAGAAATGTAAACTTCAGAGTTTGATATTGAAACAGTTTTGTTTTAAATTAAATCAAAATATTCACCTTGCTATTTTCGAAACATTAGTTTTTCAGAAGTCGGATACTTTTCTGTTCGGAATATTCTAATATGCAGAAGAGAAATTCAAATGACAAAACTTCACATAGCTGGTTCTGTGAAGCTTACTAAGTTAAATGAGTCCTGTAAGAGAGTAAAACTCTAAGGAAATATTGTGTGCCTTAAAGAGTCATACCCCAAATCATAAAAATGGAAATTATGCAAAGATTAATATTTCCTTTGCATAGTTAATAATACATATTCCTAATTTTATGGACTCAAAACTATGAACTTTTCCAAATAATGTGTTTTTTAACTCTAAGGACATGATGAGTTTTGTATGATTTATGACCAAAACTAAATTTCAAAATATAATTGAACATGCATAGATATTTGATTTATTATGGACAAGACTCATGCTTTCAAAAATTGAAGTCTGAAAAAAAAGGCCTGGATATGAGGTCGACTGCATCAGAGATAATTATTGATATGAAACATTATTTTATGATGAAATGTTCTAATGTGTCTTTTTCTCCTCACAGATGAGTCCAATTTTGAGTAAGGACAGTAACACATTTCTTGTCCTCTAGGTAGAATGTCAGCCCTGTAAGGGGGGCTTTCCAGTTTAACTAGTCAAAAGAGCCCTTGCCCTGTGTCTCACTGAAGAAGCTAGCAACCTATTGAGTACAGTCCCTTAGCCCACTGTTTGGACAAAGCAGTAAAATTTAGTAAGCAAGGCATATATAGCAAAATATCCAGTAGGTTCTTGGTTTGCAGCCAAACTAAGAACTCAGTCACTGAAAGCATAAATAATCTAACACTTTGTGTGTTGACCCTAAATTTATCAAAAATAAATGCAGCACTGTGGAGAGATGTTATCATCGTCGTCATCACAGTCATTGTCATCAGCATCACTGTACAAATTTTAGACTGCTGTATTTTAACTTACTCTAGACACAGACCTCACATCATTGTTTTCAAGGTATCCATTCAAATGCATCAACGTGACTATTCAGAGACACGTTGTACACAGGCAAAACAGTATCTTCTACAGACATTTTATATTTCTTACTCAAACTCAGGTGAGAGATTGATATATATATATATATCTAATACAATATATATGTGTATGTGTATATATATACATATATGTGTGTGTGTGTGTATGTATACACACACACACACACACACTATTCAGGGTACATCCTCAACAAGTGATCAAATTATCCTGGAGTGCCCACAGTTTTAAGAGGTAGTGTACACTGGTGTTTGTGTGTGTATTATAGACTCGTAGTAAGCCTGAATTATTTATAAGAAATAACCTCTACATCATTGCTACTCAGAGTACATCGGGCCAATCAGTCACTTTGTACCAACTTCACTGTCGGGGAAGCAGGGAAATGTGGAAGAACAGATTTGGAGTTTTGAAGAGCACTAACTTTATGAGCTGAGCACCTATTGAGAATTTCACTTTTTGCATATTTTTCTTTTGTTTTAACAACTTATTGTAGATTCACCTACCCCTTGCCCTTTCTCCCTTCTTGATTAAAAACCTCAAGACACCTCCATTCCTGGCTTAATGATAATCGACCTCCTTTCTGCAAACACTGAGTTTTCCTTTCTTCTCAAACAGCTTTCCTCAGAGTATTTGTTCATGAGAGATAGTTATGAAAATTGACCCTTTTATAGAAGTTCACTGATTAAACTAAATAGAAATGGCCAGGCATGGTGGCTCATGCCTGTAATCCTAGCACTTTGGGAGGCTAAGGCAACATGGTGAAAACCTGTCCCTACTGAAAATTACAAAAAGTCAGCCAGGCATGGTGAACATGAGCCTGTAGTCCCAGCTACTCAGGAGACTGAGGCACAAGAATTGCTTGAACCCAGGAGGTGGAAGTTGCTGTGAGCGAAGATCGTGCCATTGCACTCCAGCCTGGGTGACAAGGTGAAACTCTGTCTCAAAATAAGTAAAATAAAATAAAATAAATAGAAATATGTGTATATGCATTTGTATATTTTGTTCTTTAGAACATTTTACAATTTCTTTGGTCTCCAAATCTGTTAAAACTAGTTTGTAAAGAGAGATTATATCTTAACATGGCATGCATTATCAATTTGCCAAAAATTAAATGCAATAAATATATTGAAGATAAAACATATAAATAACTTAGTCATTCTGACCATTCAAAAGTTCTAAAGAACTTTCAGGATCATTACTTCAGATATGAATTCTTAATCTATGGATTCAAGGTACAGAAGTTATAATGAGTGTGTTTCAGTCTGTACTTATCTAGAATATTGTGTATTCTGGGCATTGCTTTCTGAAATGGATCTCTGACATCTATGTTTATTTATCATTTGTATATTCATTTCTCATTAAATACAAATTTAGCATATGACAATTTCAGTTATTGGAACTCTAGATTTTTATTCATGGTGGCTGTTATGCATGTTCTTCACACTGTGTGTACATTCGACACTTCTGTATCTATACATATTTCTGCAAATAATACTAGTTCTTAGAATTTTCCAGTAAGAAAAGATCTTATGTATCCTCTACCCAATCCGTATATTTTACAGTATCTGCAGCTGTATGTTTGTGTGTGTGACAACTCAGGTATGCGTAGAAACTACTATCTCTATTGGCAATTTTTTTTTCTTTTTTAAAAAAATCCATCTGTCTGCATATGAACATTCTTGACGTTCTTCGAATTTTAAAAA